GACTGATGGTTTAGGGGGGTGATGTAATGGGGTGAATCGTTACATAACAATTTATAAGAAATTGTTAATAGAATATAACTATAAAAGTGATATTCTCCGAATATTGTCATAAGGACAAATATTCTGTAGCACTTACAAGTAGTTCCTAATTGGTTGATATAGGCCATTATATCCAGCCAACGAGAACTTGCCACGATAGACGCACACCAATGAGTGGTGAGCAGATGATTGATTTTTTTACATTTGTATTTAGACATAATTAGATGAAGATAAATAGTGATTTATTGCAGACGTTTGCTATTATAAATACAGTTCTACTTTACTTTAACCAAGTACTCGCTACTTCTTACCGTCTTCCTCTGCGAACGAGTGTACGTGAAGTTACCAGGCACCGCCTAATTCTGTCATCAGAATAAGTAGCTTGTACTGTTACCAGTACAAGCTTCAGGGTGCTCCCGTTACAACTACCCACAAAATTAAAATTTTTAAATACATGTCTCCAGCAGTCAAGCGCCTGGAGGAATGCGCGATCACAGGGATGGTATCCAGTGCTTGAAATACAATGATATGGTCGATGCAACTAAACGAAGTGTAGCACGTGAAATAAAGAAATGAATTTTTATAGCAATGACTATAACTTAAAGCAGCACAAAAAATCAAGCGATTATCAAGTTCCAGGCGGCTGTAATTAGTGGACTTATCGGGAATAAGCGCTGGGAGGATCTCGAATCTCATCAGTCGAATCCGATTCAGAAGAAGCCTTAAGAAGGCGATGTTGACACATTTTCTGCAATTCATTCACGTGAACGTCCTATGGATAACTGGGTGAAAATACATACGTTAAGAACAAACGAAGAAAAAAGCGGCGGCTAGCCTCTTGACGGTGTGGTATGAATGGTACACTCGCGCACCGTGAATTTGGATTGTGGGGCTTCTCAGCGGTAGGTGTCTAACTCGAGAAAGACCGTCTTCAATATAAAGCTAGTCCTGGAGGATGAGGTACAATCTTGGTAAAAAGGCGGAAAAGTTAAGGAACAAGTATTGAAGTCCCGGAAAACTTGCAGAGGCAAGTGCATGTGAACTTCTTCGCAACGCAATACTACGTCACACGGTACCAGCTTAGTTATAAAGCATATGCACGTTGCTCACTGAGAATGATCTTTACGCGAAAGGATTTTGTCGTACAATGCATTTCTTGCAAATGACGCTATCACCGATCCCTCCCACAAAATAACAAAACATATTGAACATTGTATCAGACTTTGATAGTACCTTCCCGATTTATATTCATCAAGCACGTACGGACATGCATGCATGTCTATGTTTACCGTTTAAAATTCAGTCACCAATTTTTTCAGCTCGCATGCGTTTGTACACTAATGATACGCAGCAGATTTATTCTTAAGTTCAGTGATTACTTCTCTTCAATCGTCCTTCAATCTCTCCTTTCGTTTCCGGCCATAGACTTTTACATGAGATACAGAAACAAATTAGAAGCAGCAACAACAGCGTCAGACTGCACTGCACCTACGTCACAAAAAACAAATCAGCAGCAGCAACAACAGCTTTGGACTAAAGATGCAGCACAAAATCAAATTTGTTGGCAGCAGCAACAGAATTGTACTGGACATAACACTCTTCAATCAAAAGGTACTTCTCTTACTGCACGGGCGCGTGTATTCTCTTCGCAACTGAGTGTGAATATTAACAAAGGCAAGAAACAGATCATTGAGCTGAAACTAGCCAATGGAACGGAGTGCCCCACACGTGACATGCCTGGATTTTTGCATTTTATGTTAGAATTATAGCGTCATAGCATTGGGCTTTCCCTTTAGACGCACTTTTCATGTTACCAGCCCGCCGATCGATACCACAGGAAGAGTACTGTACTTTTACAGTATTTTGCTCTTCCTGTAGCAGCGTCCAGCAAAAGTCGTGTATCACTTGGTCTTAGCGCACGGTCTACACTGATACCAGCACAGGTCAAAACATAATACACAGTGATAAAGTTCTTGTCTTGGGAATTATAAATATAGGTATTTGTATTCGTATATCAATATGTAGATATATGGCTTCACTTATGTCAGGCACTTTATCGTTCAGTGTCACGTACCTGGCTACTAGTAAGCGCATGTTTGCGCTCAAGCTTAGCAATCGGTAGTTGCTTCACAACACCATCTCGGGTAGCCTTTCCATCCCAGTGAAGGATGACCGACGAGAGCAAGCTCATCCATCTAAAACTAGCGATCAATTACCTCCCACATGCCGAATACTACGACGTATGGTTAAGTCGCATTTGCTCTTTACAAGCAATCGATACTCGTTATGGAACTTACGGAACCGCGCGACTTATGGCATCGAGCAGCCACTCTCCAATCCGTACAAGATCAAAAAATGGTAAGATGCGAATACCACTAGCCACGTCATCTTTCATCATTATAATATGACACGGATGTATATAGCAGTAGCAGCGGTATTAGCTAGCAATAACATCGTAAAACGCACCACATGAAGCACACGATAAATTCAGTTTTACACGACGCTGAACTTACTTGCATCAAAGCTGACTGTCCACCACCAACACAGAAGCTGCAGGTGCACGTTCCAGGTGGCATTTTTCTGCACATAGTTACACTATAGAAAGCATTTATACTTCTCTATGTCGCGTCGTGTCATTTGCTACGCTTGACATTACGTTGATATCTCATCAGTCGCTGCCACGTTCAATCGAGGCTAGTGGAAGCGGTAATAGCAGTACAGCGCGAGTCGTGGTCGCTCAGTTTCAAAAACGATTGCGCTTTTTCAGTGAAGAGGTCTCAGTCCGCGGGGGTATTGGTGATGGTGCGTGAGATCGGTTGCCGTGTTGACGCCAGCTGGCTTCATTTTCTGCGCCTTCACGCAACTATCCAATGCAAACAACGACGTCAAGTTGCCCCTGCCTTGACTGCTGATCAGTGGAGGGAAAGAGAACACTGGGCGTTTTCCGCTCTTTCTTCGCATGTCGTGTCTATACAATGGAGGCAACTGTAAGCCTCCGAGTCGTTCGTCTTGTCGCAAAGTTAATGGGCGCGCATAAATAACTTCGGCGTTTTCCAAAGATTGGTACCACGAAAGACTTGTGCTGATTTATCGCACTCTAACGCCAACGGCAGTACCCGCTGCTCTTTTATATCCCCATCAGATTACTATCCATTCGAATTCGTGACCCCTTCATAGTCGACGTAAGCACGTCATAACGCAAAAGAGCTCGTCCAAATGAGTACTACCGGGAGCCACGCCACCCCCCGCCGCGAGTCCATGGACTCGTCAGCCTCCTCGTTTCTGGATGCACACAAGAATGCGCCCTTTGCAGGTAAGCACCCCAAGGGGTTTGGTGAGATGGTGGTAGTCCACGGCGTCAGCATTGCGCAGACGTACCTCCTGCCCGTGCCCCATCTCCGCCAATGGCTACCAGAGCAAGACAAGCAAATGTGCAACCGCCGCAAGCTTGACACGCTCGATGACGACAGTGCAGGACACAAGAGCACATACAACAAGATTATGGGCGACTCGGACGTGATTCTAGGCGATATTCGCCGTAATAGCAAGCAAGTGCCGGTGTCACGCGCCTATGTGCGAGCAGGTCCACGCGCCTGCACGTTCTTCGATCCTTCCACGGTCAAGGCAGCCATTGTGACCTGTGGCGGTCTATGTCCTGGGCTGAATAACGTCGTGCGGGACGTTACACTCGCTCTATGGAACCTGTACGGCGTGCGTGAGATCTACGGCATTCGAATGGGCTTTGCGGGGTTCTACAATTGGGACTCGATGGACCAGAAGGAGGCTCCTATCATGCTGACGCTCAAGTCGGTGGCTAATATCCATCACTATGGTGGCACGATCCTCGGCTCCAACCGTGGCGGCTTTGATCAAGACAAGATCATCAACTTCCTGACCACGCATGGCGTTTCACAGTTGTACGTGATTGGCGGTGACGGTACCCACCGTGCTGCTAACAAGATTTCGGAGGAGTGTCGTCGTCGGAAGCTGGCGGTTGCTGTCGCTGGGGTGCCGAAGACTATCGACAACGATGTGGATCTTCTAGACCGAAGTTTTGGCTTCAACACGGCCGTGGAAGAGGCGCAGCGGGCCATTCGTTCAGCCAGTACAGAGGCTCGTTGTGTGCCCAACGGCATCGGCGTGGTCAAGCTAATGGGACGAAGCTCCGGCTTCATTGCTGCCCACGCATCGCTCTCTAGCGGCGACGTGAATCTGTGTCTGGTTCCGGAGATCCCGATCGAGCTGGACGGTCCGCGCAGCTGCTTAGACCACCTTGAGCATGTCGTGGAAGAGCAAGGCCACGGTGTCGTTGTTGTCGCCGAGGGGGCCGGTGAAGAGCTGCTGGGCACTTCAGTGGAAGCTGATGCTGGTGGTAACAAGAAGCTGCCACCTATCGGCGCGTTCATGAAGGACCGCATCCAGGAGCATTTTGCAAAGAAGGGCAAGGAGTGCACGGTCAAGTACATTGATCCGTCCTACATGATCCGTTCGGTGTCGGCGAATGCTGCAGACAGTCTGTATTGCATGCTGCTGGGCCAGAATGCTGTGCATGGTGCTATGGCTGGTTACACCGGCTTCACTGTCGGCCTCAGCGCTAACCGTGTCGTCTACTTTCCCATTGAGGCTGTCACGCGCAACTCGCCGCGTTGCATGGACCCGTTTGGCCGCACGTGGGAGCGTGTGCTGTGTCTGACGCGCCAGCCCAACTCGGCCCGCGAAGGTCACATCAAGGGCGCCAAGTCCTCGGATTAGGCGCATTGCTATGCATCACACCTGATAGGAGTCGGATAAGACTCTTGGGAGTGGAATCATTTGAACACTTTGGCTACGACGTTCCTGGTCATTAATTAGTCGAATCATAAAGCGACGTTGGCCAAGTGATGAACGTGTCAGGCGTTGCGTGTCGAACGTGCGGTCATTAGTGAAAGTAATTACCCAACGCGCAGTTCTACCGTTCTCCAAGCGACGACGTCACTGTCTCCGAACGAGGATCAACCCCAGTTTTGCATACTGAAGGATATGATCAGTGCATCTTGTACCAATGCCAGCAGCAGTACAGTGTAACGTTGGCACCAGTGCGTGGACGATTTCGCAGACAGAACTACGTGAATACCGGTACTGCAAAGCGCATTCTACATTGAAATGCTATCAGTAAGTAGAGGTCACATGTGCCTGTATATCACGCGACTTGCCCAATAAGATTACTGCTCCGTTCGATTCCTCACGTAACCCCTCACAGCAGTCGTGTCTCCTCGCTCACGCAATCAACGCTTTACAATGACATCAATTATCACGACAAATAGGCGTCTATTTTCGCACCTGTAGTCTTATCTGCTCCATACCGGTACATGCACAAGCCAACTAACCTAGGGTGTCCCAAAAAGGCCCAAATTGGGTACTTTGACCCCTTCCACTGACGTGGTGAAGATCCGCTCCACGTACACATCCTCCACGCTCTCGTCATTCTTCAGCTGCCGTGGCCCCCTCAAGCTCCCCTCTTTTTCGTCCGTGCACTCTCAGCTGATGTTCGCTCGTCAGGCGCTCAAGCAGCTGTGGTCGTCGTCGTCCGTCCCAACGACCCGCAGCTTCGCCGTGCTAACGGTCGATACGATCAACCCCAATATAGTCAAGGCCGAGTATGCTGTTCGTGGTGCACTGGTTCTGCGCTCGAACGAGTACGTGAGTCAACTGGCTCGGGGTGACACATCGCTGCCCTTTGATAAGGTCATTCCGTGCAATATTGGGAACCCCCAGGTGCTCGAGCAAGAGCCAATCGAGTTCCACCGCCAAGTCCTGGCGCTCGTCAATGTACCGGGTCTCGTGGACAAGCCCGAGGCACAGAAGCTCTTCCAACCGGACGCTATTGCTCGTGCCAAGTTTTACATTGACAACATCGCTGGCGGGACGGGTGCTTATGGACACAGCAAAGGCTCAGCTGTCGTGCGGGAGGAGGTCACACGCTTCCTTCAGCGTCGCGACGGCCACTCTGCTGACCCGGAAGACATCTACCTCACCGACGGTGCAAGTCCGGCGGTGCAGAACTCGCTGCTGGCTTTGATCCGCAACGAAAACGACGCGATTTTGGCCCCTATTCCACAGTACCCATTGTACTCGGCAGCTATCGCCATCAATGGCGGTACATTGGTGGGATATTACTTGGATGAATCGAACACTTGGGGTCTTGACGTGAAGGAACTGGCGCGGGCTGTGAAGGAAGCTCGAGATGCAGGGAAGACTGTGCGTGCAATGGCTGTGATCAACCCTGGCAACCCCACGGGTCAGTGTTTGGCATTAGAGAATATTGAGGCAATCATCAAGTTCTGCAAGCAGGAAAACATCTTGATTATGGCGGATGAGGTGTACCAGGAGAACGTGTACGCAGAAGGTAAGAAGTTCCTGTCGTTCAAGAAGGTGCTGCGTGACATGGGCAGCGCTTACGACGACGTGGAGCTCATTTCGTTCCACTCGACGTCCAAGGGGTTCACTGGCGAGTGTGGTCGTCGCGGTGGCTACATGGAGCTGGTGAACATTGATGCGGGTGTCAAGGAACAGTTCTACAAGCTCATGTCGGTGAACTTGTGCTCGAACATTGAGGGCCAGTTGATGGTGGGAATGATGACCAACCCGCCGCAGCCGGGTGATGCATCGTACGATCGGTACGTCGAGCAGCGTGATGGCATTCTCGGGTCGCTGAAGCGCCGTGCCGTGAAGATCGTGAAAGCCTTCAACGAGCTCGAGGGTGTCACGTGCAATGAGACCGAGGGTGCAATGTATACGTTCCCCAATGTCACGCTTCCGGTCAAGGCTGTCGAGGCCGCGAAGGATGCCGGGATGGCGCCTGACGCGTTCTACTGCATGCAGATGCTGGATAGCACGGGGATTGTGGTCGTGCCTGGCTCGGGTTTCGGCCAGAAGGAGGGTACGTGGCACTTCCGGTCAACGATTTTGCCACCTGAGGAGGCTGTGGACGAGGTGATTGAGAAGACGTCCAAGTTCCACGCCAAGTTCATGGACAAGTACCGGTAGATTGATGTGCTTGTGTCTTAGCGGCTAGTGTGTCACGTGGACAGCTACAAAAGCCAGACAATAATTGGACAGCCCTGACTACTACCACCATGAAAACCGTTTTCGTCCGTCGGTGCCGACGCCTTTTGTTACCAGCAAACGCGGTAATACCGGTATATTCGCTTCATCCGTGCGAGTGTCGCGCGAGCAGCTCAATAGGATTAGCAACCGCAGCATGTTCATCTTCCCAGTGGAAGAGGACTCGTGGCTTTTCCGCTCGTGTCTGTACTACGGCATCCTCGTACTGCTTGCAGAGCTCTTCGTGCCGCTTGTCTTCCACCGCCGCGTGCGCTTCGAGATCCCTCAGCTCGCTGCTGCCTACCCCGGCAGTTCCTCTGCCTCCCTCGCGTCTTCCGGACAGCGTCGACGGAAACTGCAGCAACAAGTAGCAGCGCTGCAACGGGCTCTGGCCGAGACAGACCGCGTCTGTCTCCGCAGGAAAGAGGCACTATTTGAGGAAGGAGGCTACAAAAAGACGATTAGCAGCAGCAGCGGCTTCTCCGTCTCTTTGTTACGTCGTCCTCGGATTGGGTACTCCAGGGCGTTCATTGGAGGTGAAGGGACCAAGACCTTTCCACGAAACTGAGTGGACGACTGAAAGTGTAGGAGAGGAAGACGAAGATCGATGCAGATTATGGACGAAGAACAAGGAGCGTTCATCACCATTTGCTGCCGATTTGGTGCACAAGTCGAGTCCTTCACCTATGGCCATGAGTCATTTCTTTCGAGCTGACTCGCGCAGCTCGACAAGGCGGCTTCCTCGTTTCACGAAGCAATTGAGGGGAAGGAAAAGCTGGTGATGTGGTAGCGGCGAGTGGTCGCTAGGAGCCGAACGATAGGATACAAAAAAAGGTTATGGATGGAAGGAGAGCGGGATGGAAGGAATCGCCGACTTTTCTGGAGACAAAGACCCAAGCGGTTGGTGTCAGAAGATGCCGAACGCGTCGGGTATACCGGATCTGCTGAGGCCGTTACGCAAGTGGAGGTCGCTGATTCGAGGTGCGCCGAAGACAGCAAGCCAATACTCGACATTCGAAGCAAGCTCCTTTGTCCCGTTCAGGGTAGAGTTGCTTTGTTGGCACCAGAGCAGAGAAACTGGCAGAGCGCTCTGCTACCTATGAGGCCGAGCCGGGAGCATTTGGAGCCTTACCTACTATGGCAAGACAGCTCCGCGGGCAATGTCATGGAAGATATAATGGGAAAGGAAAAAGCAAGGCACATTGGCACCTCATCTCTGTTAAGACGGCAAAGTGAAAAGGGGGGTCGGTCCAGAAGAGAGGCGGAAACGAAGGAGATGGAGCAAGTTTTCTGAACCACCGCACTGACTTCCAGGGTATTTTGCGAATCGTTTGCAGCTGGCGTACTCAGCAGCAGCCCGACAAGCTGTGGCAAAGCGAAAGCATTGCGAGGCTTTCGAAGCAACTGATACGCACATGTATGGTGTAGTTCCACGGCAGCCCTACAATTCTGGCAATAGCGCTAAACGCGTCCGCGAAATACGGTGCGATCATCGAAGCAATCACATAGCAAGAATGATACGGCTGCAACACCGCACAGCGTCGATGAACGCTTGAATGACAACAAAGGGGGTGACCAATGCTGCGGTGTCGACTCATCAGGTCCTGGAGAAGCGCAAGCATGACCAAGCGTTTGGAACGGCTGCAGTGCAGGAACAGCTAAGTGATAAAGTGAGTGGTTCTATCTCATTTGACGGGCGGTAGGCACTTGTTATACCATAAAGCTGACCGTCTGTACTGTGCTGCTCGAATTCCAGGACACCTCGGATTGTAAAGGCGCATCTCATTCGATGATGACGCAGACACACTGGCAGCTACAAGTTTGGAAAATTATTCGGTGCAACGGTCGAATGGTAAACGCCAAGAAGACACTCGACATCGTAGATGATGACGACGAGGATGCTGAGTGGCGTGAGTCCCTTGCTTTCCAGCCTCGTCAGTTGGGGTAACCGATACTGTAAAGGACACAATTGTGACCTCCTGGTGCGCCGTGTGCCCTCACGCAAGACTTGTGGAACAGAGCGAGGCATTGGTGTTCTTTCTCAAGTCTTCACAAAGTGGAATAGCGCAAGAGTGATGTTGCTCACTGCCATGACGCACCCGGAGCGGCTGGTGGTGTGTACTTCTTCATGCATACTGACTAATCTAGGTGAGTGTCGAGCGAGACGGCTTGGGGGGTGAATGTGCTGCATTCGGGGCTTGCATGGTATCGAGCAAGGCGGACGCATTGACAATCGGTGTTTATGACAATGGACACTGTTTCCGAAGTCAAACTATGGTGGGTAGCGAGACGGAAGGAACCATCGACCTTTTCGAGACAAAGACCCATATGGCAGGCAAATGCGGCAAACTTGGCGACACGAAGGTGTCATAACGACGTGGAGTGTCGTGTAATGGCATTAGTTGGTGACGCGACGTGCTTGTTCAGGGGTGACGAAACCGAAGCGGTAGAGCGATGGCTATCGGTCTAAGATAGCGGCCGCACATGTGCACCTCGCACGTACACGATCTCGGCCGGGGAATCTTGATGTCTCATCAGAATTGTGATCCGTCAAGCTCGGAGTTTGTGCAAGCTTCATGACCAAGAAACGCACCCCCACAGTTCAGAAGTAGTGCCAATGCGCAACCTTGTTCCTGCTGTGCTCTACTCTTACCCGTCGAGTCTGGTCAACCTCGTCGATTGTGATCGGCGCTGGGATAACTCTGTAGCCTCGTGCTGCTTCTAGTTGCACGTATCGACGGGCTTGATGACTGTGGTGCCGGGACGACACCGTCGCTGTGAAACGGGCAAGAGTCTCTCCAACAGCTGAGCAGCAGTCCTATTCTGCACGCGATGACCCACTGTCACACATAACGCAGAGCACATGTTTGTGTACGCCACGCGCCCGTCACGTTACTGACTCGAAGTCGCCGCTGCGATCCGACGCATGAGTGATTTGCTTTCTGCGTCTCATCGAGATAAAAGCTCTGGATTGTCTTGGACATCCGTTTCGACTTGACTCACCCTGCACGTAAGCACCCTTTCAACATCCACAGCTCCCTTCTGAAAAGCGTAACCGAATGGTCTGCTTCATAAGGCATTTCGAGCACCGGAATGCAAACGCTCACACGTAGATACACTCGAGCACAACTTCCTCTTTTTGAAATGCTCAGAATCGAAAGTGCCTGATCTGGCAACAAACTCGTCAGGCATCCACCAGCCGCATCCTTCACGTCGCATACAGTCGCAGGATACAGTCGGACATGACCTTCCACGCTCGTCCAGTGGAGTCCGTTCTCATCACGACCACGCGATGTGCCCAACGTGATCTCAGGACGGAGAGATGGCGTAAGCTTGAAGATCCATGGGTCGAATGAGGATTGATTGGTGTGTGCCACATGTCATTGCAACATTCAGGACACCATCAAGCTCGATGATACAGGAGCTTGATCATTTTTGACAACCCTATGGACATCGCCATGTCGAGTCGCAAACCCGTGCTGACGTTCGTGACTGGCAACAGTAACAAGCTCAAGGAGGTCGTCGCTATCCTGGGCAATGACTTTCCATTTGAGCTGCGTAACCAGGCTGTAGATCTGCCCGAACTGCAAGGCGAGCCAGCTGAAATTGCCAAGGAAAAGTGCCGTCTTGCGACCAAGCAGGTGCAGGGTGCTGTATTGGTAGAGGACACGTCGCTCTGTTTCAATGCGCTCAAGGGACTACCAGGGCCTTACATCAAGTGGTTCCTCGAGAAAACGGGTCACGATGGACTGAACAACATGCTGGCTGCTTACGAGGACAAGTCTGCGTACGCCCAGTGCATTTTCGCCTATGCGTCGGCGGGCTCTGAGCCGCAAGTGTTCATTGGTCAGACTCCCGGCACGATCGTGCCTGCTCGTGGTCCCACCACATTTGGATGGGACCCAGTGTTTCAGCCTGATGGGTTTGACAAGACGTACGCTGAGATGGACAAGCTTACCAAGAACCAGATCTCGCACCGATACAAGGCGCTCGAAGCATTTCGGGCGTACGTCATCAAACCTGCTGCGGACAAGTGAATTGACAGAGCGAACCTACTGTTGAAAAAAAGGCCAAACCCAAAGTTAGTGTGGCAAGCCTTACTGCTGGAACGATCACGTTGTCCGATCTTTGTTCCCTGCGAAACAGCTGCTACTACGACATGTAAGCGACATTTTTGTTTATTCCGGCGGACCCCTCAGTCCCTCATCATGTCATTTCCAGTCGGGTACATGGAACCGCCGGAGTTACATTCAGCCGTCGGCACTGAGTGGAGATCCTGCGTAACCCTGACGCGGCTAATAAACGACCGGTCATTATCGATGTGCGCGATACGGACTACGTTGGAGGCCACATTCGGCTCGGCGGTGAACATTCCCGAGGACAGTTTCATGGACGACGACGACGTGGATGCTCTTGTGGCCAAGTACAAGGACGAGGACGCTGTTGTATTCCACTGCATGATGAGCCAAGTGCGAGGACCGTCGTGTGCCAAGAGGTTCAAGGCTCGAATGGAGGTTGTGCTAGAAGGCGCTGCGCACAAACCCCGCGTGCTCATCCTCCATGGTGGCTACGAACGCTTTGGCAGTGTGAGCATTGGCTTTGTTTTCCACGTTTGGCTGCGACGCTTTTGATGTCGTGGAAACACGCTGCTAAGTACTGTTTGCATGTGTGTGTGTGTGTTGTCATCAGATGTACAAGAACGAGGCCGATCTCATTGAAATGGACGCCTGAGTCTTGTATTCAGTGGTGCTGCATACAGCGTGGGGTCAAGACCCTACAGCCTGTAGTCTGCACGCTTGACAGGCAGTGTTTGCTTCTTTGAAATGTAGTCAATGAGAAAGTTTGCCTTCAGACAATCAATGTTGTGTGTCTTGAGCTTCTTCAGCCACAGGTCTCGCGTTGGCACTTCTGGTGGAAAAAGTGCCACGACAGGTGCGTCGGCGGTCGACTCCTTCGCTAGACGGTCAAAGTCAGCGGCAGATTTGCTAAGCGGGATCACCGAGCCGTTTCCAGCGAGAACGATCCGCTCACACATATCCCGCGGAGGAGTGCATTTCGCGTGAATAAAGAAACGCCAACCAGCAAATGCTCCGGGATGTCCACTTGCACGCTTCTTGCGCCAGTACCCGCACGCTCCTGGCCATATTCGCGTATCGATATCCTTACTGTCAGATTTGTGGCTCCCCCACTCGTGTACAGTCTCATCAACAAACTCTTTGGCTTTTGCGCTAGCATCCAGATACGATGGCTTGACAATCCACTGCAATCGACAACGTGTACAAGCAAGAATTGTTGTTAGAACGAGGCACAGCAAACCCAAAAACACTCCCATCTCAGCGCTCACCTTGCCAGCTGCGCATCCAGCAATGAACTTTTCCGTCCGCTTAAGTTCGCTGCAAATAATGTGCGTACAGTTGTTGTCGAATACGCGACCAAACTCACCAACGGTTGCACCCAATGAAGTGATTATCGCGGTGTGCATCGTTGCCTGGTCTCGATCGCCCGTCAAGAGGAATACACGCCTACTTCTTGAAGCCAAGGATCCAGCCGATACTGTAGCACTGACAACCTCTTTTTTTCTGCTTCTTTACAGTGCTCTTGTTCAATGTATCCAATCCATCCGGGTCGTCATCACCCTTGCGCTTCGTTGTTTTGAGTTTCTTTGCAGACACTTGTATTGCTGTCGCTGTGTCCTGATCAGCTGCAACGGTGCTCGCTGTCTCCAGAGTGCTGATACCAAACGGTGACTTCTTCGCAGCTTCGACTTTGACACCAGTTCCCACAGCCTTCTCACCACGTTCTCTTTCCGAGACTCCCATACTTGTGAACACTTGGTCAGACCGTTTATGTCGAGATTTTCGCTTGTTCTTTGGAGAAGTGTTTGTGTCTGTTGGTGTATCGAACAACGTGCAAGCTACGTCTTTCGAATGGCCGGGCGTCGAGCTCGACAGATTGGAGGTTGTCGCCGGTGTCGTCACCGTGCTGCTAGCTGGGATCGTCTTGTCACTAGGAGTAGGCACCTTGTCGATCTCCGTGAGAATGCCGTCAACATCAAAGCGCCCTTGACCAGCCTTCTTCGCCTTTTTTGCACTTCTGGCGACAGGCGTAGTTCCTACGGTCGTTTCGATCAGTGCTGCCTCGTCGACTTTATTATTTCTGCCAGGCTTCTTCTTCGGACCGCCATCTAATGCCGTACCGACCGTATCTCCAGACAGCTCCTTGTTGACGTTGTACCGGAACGCATCTTCGGCAACATGCTCCCCACTTTGACAAGCATGCGAAAACCCACTGTAAACACATCGACAGAGTCAACATCCATCTACCGAAGGCAAACTACAAAAGGTGCACGGATACCTTGTGGCTCAAGACATTGTCGAATCTCCAGCTCAGCGCTCTCTTATACTTCTCCCCGGTGGCATCGTGGCATAGGAGGTGCGTCGAATGCGTCCGGGAAAGCACCGGAAGTAAGCATGCACCGGTGGCGTGGATAGCAATCTGCAATTCTTCGCGTGTTGGGCTGGACTGACTCGAGTACCCTGATAAAGTGATAACTTGAGAATGCATTCCGGGAATACCACCAAATGAGCGAACTGGCCGCTGAATCGCCTCATTGAACGAAGTAGGCTTCCGCACTTGCACAAGTCCTGCAAGAACCCAATACACGCTCACCACTTTCTTGTCTTGACGCACGGCTTCATTGTACTCAAATCCGCCACGGTATCGACAAACGACAAACGACGCGTTCATGACTACTTTGCCTACGATTTCCTGATACGAGTCACCCAACGGGACATTTGCTACCTTGGCGTCCACTGTCTTCAACATGTCCGACAGCTTTTGTCGTAGCAATGGAGATATATGCTGCGCGAGGAGTACAATCGCACCTTGTAGCGCTTTTTTAATCGCCTTCAGTTTCTACAAACAGCAAAAAATTCTGTCAATAATAACACGAGTACCCACCAGTAGGAGTGCCCAATGAGTTTACTGCAATTTCCCACCTCATTAGATAGCTTGCGAACGACTGAGAGTTCTGTGCCGAGTTCCGTCTTCCCATGCTGATACACCTGTGCATACTTACCAAAATTCAGATCATCTAGCTGCACTTTCGGCTGCGTCTTCCAGTTGCGCTTCTTCTTGTCCACATTTACAGCAGAAGATCCAGTAGGTCTATGATCAAAAGGACCTTCTAGCACGCGACTCTGTCGCATCACACAATCTTCAATCCACGTATACTTGACATGATGTTGCTTGGACAGTCCAGCATGTTGTCCCATGTAGGCAACAACACAACTAGGCAGCGAGAACGTCGAGTCTAGTGACTGCGACGACAAATGCTGACGCCAGGCGTCAACACTCCGACCTAGATCAGTTTTCGAAAAGTGAACCTGGAGTAGTTTCTCGTCTCCCTCCTGCTCTGCTTCAGGTTCCACCATCGCAGCATCGTCACTGCTCTCGTCTCGATACAAAATATGCGTCGCTCCTCGAGCGACGTCGTTGTGGTCAACAATCTGCCCGCCATAATGCGAAATGAGTCCATTCATGACCTTCCGCGGGTCTTTCTCCATTGTTCCAGCTGAAATCGCGAGCGTGGAGAAGATGAGCGCCGGGTTCGGGCTAAAGCGGTCCACGGGGAGCAGCTGCTGTAGCAAGAACGTCCGGAAGACCCACTCGGGCCGCACCAGAGCCACAAAGCGCTCGTTCCGCTGCTCCACAAACGTCTCATAGGACTTTGGATGGCAAACGATATGTGTCACGGCGCTGCCGGTAGCAGCGCTGGCGTCAGTCAGCAGCGTGGCACCTCCGTCCCGGAGACACGACTCAAGTGCGACCAGCTCGACCGCCTCGAGCTCTGTAGGGTGGACGACGCATTGCATCGACGCGTACAGAGAGTGCTGCCGCATGTCTTGTACCTGCTTTTTTTTTCTTGGCTGGTCCCGGAGCGCGCGCGTTAGAAATGGTCGATGTTTAGAAACGAATGGTCACGGACCGAAGCGCTGAGTTGTGAAAATTACGTGGTAATTTATAAACTCGCGGGTGCGACGGCTCCTTTCCCGCCATTCGCAGATTTGCCGCGGGAGTGACAGTCACATCGTGCTGTCAGGATTCTTTTGCATGCAGTCACGCACGCGCCTTTGCTGTGTTTTGCAGGCTTAGAAACGACAGGAAACGGTTTGTAACGGCCGGTGCGGTGCTCGTCAAGACCATTTTGCTGCGATCGAGAGGATGTGGAGCAGCTCCGCGTTGCTTAATGACGGGAAGAGGACTCGTTGGATGAAAAGTGCGTGCATGTATAAGACGAAGCGGTTGGTGTCCGGTGCCGTCAGACACACCATTTACTATGGAAGATTGGACGTGCGGACACCGACATTCTTGGCGGTGTGCCTGCACTGCTCGCTGTTCGGCGTCTGGCGTCAGATCGTCACCGGAGGCTGCATAGGCGACTGAAGTACTGCAGAATAGCTGCGTATGTGGAGAAATGCGTTTGCAGCTAGCACGAGGGACCGATCGTAGGTGATCCTCGTACTATCGGATCTCGTTATACGCCCTAATGCCCATGTCGGCGGCGGGTGGCTTATATCAGGACCAGCCGATTGACATCTGCATCGGCAAACTCCACGCGACGCGATAGCATCTCCTTCACCTGATCAGCCGGTAGCTTCCAAGCCACGCCGCGGCATCGCCGCCCATACACATCCAGCACGTCCTGGGGACTGTCCACGTTCAGCACCTCAGAGAACTGAGTCAAAGCGGCGAACACCTCACGTACGTCGTCGCTGGCGCCACCTTCACCGCTAAAAAACGTACTGATGACACGCACATCTTTATCAAACTGCAACGCACCGAGCTGGTTTACGCGAGTCACTCGACTGACGAACCAAGATTCGAGCTGGGTCGCAGTGTATTGAGCCATCATCTGCACAAGAGCACGGTAATTGCTCCGCGACAAATTTCCTTGAAAGCTGGCAAGGAGCGAGTGCAGCCCGCGCACAAGCATATGTGCAAACGGATCATTTGCCTCGTTGACTGTAAACATTGCTTCTGTTAGCTCGTACTGTACGCCGTGGCGTCTTTGTACCGAAGACAGAGTTGTAGCAGATACCGCCAAAGCCGAGGCTGCGGAAGATGCCGACAAAGATGGCGATAGCAAACCGCTGAGGAATGCAGCGATCTTGGGTTCCAGAAGCTTCATAAGCTTCTTTCGTGACGCTACGAGTAGCTGTCGAAGTTCGGCTGACGCATCTTCGAGTGCATTCAGGCAAGTCATAACGTGTTGCGGTACTTCGGGGAAGGCTTCAGGCAGCTCGTGTTGGAACTCGCTCTTCAATTGTGCGATGTATCCGGAAGTTACCTCCAAACTGTTGAGTACGACATGGGGTGCGTGTTCCTTACGCTGCTCTGATGTTTCACCAGTCATCTCACCGCCATTATGGGCACCGCCGACGGGCCCAACGGTCTTGCTAAGTTTGGCAAATTGCTGCTGCATCTGACCGCGCAACTGCGCCGAAGAAGAAGCTAACAAACTAGCCGCGTCTCCATCGGTTACGTCCATCTTTGCGTTCGTCGTCATGTGCCGGATGCGGCTACGCATCGTATCTCCCACAACGTCACGTAGTACCGTATTGATCATGTTGAGAACTCCAGCCGCGCTGTCGACGTGGCCTGTCGCCAAGGCGCGCAACCCAGAGTTACGTGCTACGTAAAAGATTTCGTCAATGGATGATGAAATCGGGAAGCAGGATAGTGCATCATCGCTTTCAGCACCACGAGATCCATCGTCTCCGGATGAGAAACGAAGCTCTTCCCATTGAAAAGCTTTCTGAGCAGCTTCGTTCAGTAGCGCGTTCTCAAAGAAACAATAGAATCCTGCTAGCTCCTGGACTGTTTTCCCTAGCTCACTTTCTTGGACTGAAGGCAATACGGGGACGTTTTCGGCATCAGCTGCACTCATTAGCTCATCCTGTCCAACATCCGCTTCACCATGAGTTTTCCCTCCTTTGACTTCGAGAACCACCTGCGAGCGCATAAAACGCTCATAAGTTTGCGTGTGCTGGATCACTAGTGCCATTTCATTCAGCTGTTCGTTCATCACGGCTACACCATCATCCTTAATGTCGCCTAGTCCAGCTTGGACTCCGTGACTGTCAGGAACAGCCGAAGTCAGTGATCCTAGCTGCCCTCCATTCGTGATGCGTTCGTGGAATTTGCGCTGCGCCATGAATGTGTTTAACAGCGCAACAGCCGATTGCTCGCTCAAAGTGTACAGCTTCACTACAAAGCGATTCGGACCGTGCACTCGATCAAAACACTGGGACAGCAACGTCGCATGCAGCTGTACTTCCTGTGCCACTCGATTGAACACCTCGGCAAGGCGAGTAAGTACTTCCTGTGTACTAAAGCCATCCACACAGACATCGCCATCTCGCTTCATGGACTCGTCCAGTGACTTTTGCACGTGCTCCAACAGCATCACCAGTCCACGTTCTTCGTAGTCTTTCCCCACCACTTTAAACAGCGGCGCGTATGTCTGCACCTTGCGGTTGTCTCCAGTCCGCAGCCCATCGTCAAATGCGTTTTCAATAACTCCTTTGAGATCGCTCTCCATAGTGTCAACACGTAATTTATCAGCCACGTCCAGCACCGTTTGCTGCTCGATGCTCTTAAGTGTCTGTAAGAAAGTAGCAGCTTCCGGGTACCTCTGCTGCTGCATGGCACGTCGAACGCCTGCTAACGCGTTGCGCAGCGTCCAGGAGCTGCGCCGACTGCTCCAATACCACGCTCAAGCGCGACTGGATCACGTCCAGACGTCGCACATCGCGCGTCATCTTCTCTGCAACGTCATTCGCGTTCGCAACACGTTCGACGACCGCGCCAGTCTGTGCACATAGTACCGTTACTTCAGGGGTCAAGTGACACAACGAACGCAGGGAGCGCTGGGCGGCTGCCTTCTCGGGGGCTATAGGGTCCATCGCAAATGCGAGAGATTCCTCATGGAGTAGCTGCTGCTTTTCCTTGACAGCCACAAGCTGCGCAACGAGCGCCGCGTGCTGCTGCCGGCGTTTTGATACTCCCATTGGTACCGCTGAAGTAACAATAACGCGGCTCCAAAGCTCGTCTGGGCTTGACTTGGTTCAGTAAAAGCGAACATTTTAGCCTTGTCTTTTGTAACGGTACTTCAACATTTTAGTCTTGTCTTTTGTAACGGTACTTCAACATGACCTGTAACTGTGATCGTAATCTGTACTAGTATGCATCTATTCGTAAGCGTGGGATATCCGTGAAGCTTCTTCGAGCATTGGCTTTCGTTTGAAACACGTTTAGAGCTTCAGGTAACAAGCGAGGACGAACATGTGGAGCTTACTTAACCTTTCCCAACCTTCACTAGGAGGATTTATAGTCTCTAGGAGAAGCACTTGGAGCATTCGTGGTGTGAATAACGCACATTTACCTAGGAGCGGATCAAGGCTCGCGAGAGCCATTGCTTCGCAAGGCCAATGAACGCATCATTAGCTATAAGCGCTAAACTATACAATGTAGCACAATCTCAGCGAAATGTGCGCATTGTGAATAGATCCAGGATGTTGTGATGGTCGTTCGATACCTTGTATGGGATCGCGACTAAGCTTACAGTTACAGCGCTGCTCACAAAGTCTTCACATGTCGATACTTTGATCACTGATCTGTCTCATACTCGGCATTTTCTTGATTGCTATCCCGGACCGTGAATGTTGGAGAAGTCCGAATCGTCTACTTACATGTTGTTACTATGTGCAAGATCTCTGGATAGCCTTGAGCCATGATATGAGCACCGGTGTTCCCAGTGGATTCCGTGTCCGACCCCCTGACCGAGACAGATCCCTCTTGTTTTGATGAGCAATTTAGTGCAAGCACCGAGAGTCGCTTCCCGAATGGCTGTTTTGGCCTCCCCATGTTCGCTTTGTCTTAGTTGACTTGATCCGTGATAAACTCATCGTATACCTGTTCATCCACAGACGGGTGAGGTACACCATTGTGCTGATGTACTACATCACCTACACGCTCACTCAGCCGCGGATTCATCATCCTGGAACCTGCCCTCGTTAACTACATGCCGATCCGGCAATTTAACAGGATCCCGCCAACTAGCACAAGCAGCCGGAAAGCGCTTCGTTCGTTGATACGTAGCCCATCTCCGTTTTCCGGTACCACTCATTGCCCCACAGAGCTTGTGCGTAGTGGCAGTACCAAAAGATGCGCCGCACCGCTTCGCAATCGCCGCGCATGGGCCGTATTCCGACAAGAATGCTGTCTGATCTCTGCCTGGATGGCACATGGTGAGTTGACTGTTACCCTTTTTGGACTTGATGAGGCGTAAACTAGTTGCTGTAGCCAAGTCTAAATCGGTGTTTGCCGGTACGCTGCAGGCTGCTCCTCCTCATGAATAGCACAAAACAGAGTCACGTTGCATTCTGCTGAGTTGCAAGCCCATTTCTTAGGACAAGAAGTAGCGACGCGGCGTGACATCGACAAGCTGCTCGTTGTATCAGCCAGAAAACATGCCATTAACGTCCGATGCTTCCTTCCACGGCTTTCTTTTACATATCTCTGTGCAAAGCCACCCACCCATTCAGCTGTCTATCCTGTTCGTCCTCTTGTCACTGTCGAGGCGAGGCGACAGCTATGGCTTTAGTCGAGTGAAAACACGTGTGACGAACGGGTTTTTACCCTCATGGCTACACTGTGGCCAATGGCTACACTCCTCATACCGTTCGTTTCGCCTTTGATTTTATCCGCACCGTGACGACCGCAGCAGTTTAGAGATCCGCTCTGGCATGGCCCTGACACCTGCGCCACCAGGGGCTCTCGCGTGTCAGCGTGACTCATCACTACGGTCGCTGCGCACTTCCAGTCCATGCTTGTCATAAGCGTGTGGTCCCAGCCACGAAGAAGACCACGTCCCAGCACTTCTACGAGCTTGAGCTGCACGACACAGGTGCGTGAGGTCTGACTACGTTCTTCCAGGGCTTCTAGTTGCTGACTACACTCTTGTTTACTTTATGCTCTACACAGTGCTCTTCCCCGAAGGAGGAGGACAACCTTGGGATACCGGCAAGATCGATGGCGTGAAGGTGGATCAGGTGTACGTGAAGGACGGTCGCTGTTTGCACCGAGTTCCTGTGGACGATGAAGACCAGGCACCGTTTGTGAAAGACCAGGAGGTGACAGTTACTGTCGACTGGCCTCGCCGCTTTGACCACATGCAGCAGCACTCGGCCCAGCATCTACTTAGTGCAATTGCAGAGAAGTATGGGTACGATACCACGACGTGGTCGCTTGGCGAAGAACGATGCAGCGTAGAGCTCGTGTATAGAGATATCGCGGATACTGATGGAGGAGCTGACACGGCAAAAGGTGTGATACCTGATGAGGTGCTACAGAGAATCGAGAGTGACGTGAATGAAGCGATCGTAGCAGGCTTGGCCATGACGCCTTCATTTGCCAAACCTGGGACAAACGAGTGGGAAAAGATTGCTGCAAAGTTCGAGTCGAAAGAGATGCCCAAGGCTATGCGCATTGTGACTATTGACGGCCTAGACGCAAACCCGTGCTGCGGCACACACGTCCAAAGTCTTGCCCATCTGCGATCGCTGCATATCCTTAGTACTGAGTTTGCACGCGGGGCTACTCGCGTCTGGTTCGTAGCTGGCGGCCGCGTCAACCTCGAGTTTTCTAGGATGTGAGTGCAGAGCTTTGCGTGAGATGACCTCGTTGCGCCTTGCTAAATCTTTGTGATTCTCTTCTTGTCTGCATCAATATGTAGGCTGAAAAATGAGCAAGCGATGACAAAGCTGTTGAGTAGTGCTCCCGAAGATCACGCATCTCGAACAAAGAAGTTGTTGCAGTTCCATAAGCGAGCAACGAAAGAGCTGAAACATCTACAGCAAGAGATTGCAATCTTCGTCGCAACTGATCTGGTGTCGCGATTGACTGAAGGCGTCGTCACTTTTCATCGTGATGAGGGTGATCTCGCCTTCTTGCATACATTGTCGGGACTCTTGGATGCTACGAAGCGTGATGCGGTATTCGTTCTCACGGCCGGCGAGCGGCGTGGGGATGGCCTCTTTCTAATCACTGGTCCTCCTGAGTTCATTGCTGCTCATGGACGGTCTGTGCTGCCACTCATCGACGGAAAGGGTGGTGGTGGTAAGAACGGCATCATTCAAGGCAAAGCAAAGGAGCTGGCAAGTGTTGATCTTCTGGTCGCAAAACTCCAAGAATTACGCTTGCATCACTAACGTTTTCCACGCAGTACGTCCAGCGTGTAACTAGCAAGTATCGGTAGCAGGGGCTTTCTCAGACAATGGAGAATGTAGTGCAGAGCTTGCTGTAAGCGTTGTTGAAAAATCTGGTTAGTAGATCTATCGTCAAGCCATTACACCGACGACGTTCTCTATACTTTGTTGTTCGCAATCAATTGTCGTAGCAGCACTCAACCACAAGCTTAAATCATGGTGTACCCGCGGCGGCGTGCAGTGTAGATTTTGACAGCCATGACCGCCAGCCCCATCACTAGGAAAATACCGATCGCAGCCAGGAAGGTAGAGCCTGTGAAGCCATGATTACCCTTCACAGTGGGCTCCTGAGCAAGCACCGGCTTGCCATAGCGCAACACTGGCTTTTGGTAGTTGCAGATAGTTTCCCAGGTACCGGTCTTGGCGATGTGGTTGACAATGATCGCTTTAAACTCGTCCAACGGGCAATCGGCAACTGAGCATTTCGTGAGCTCGATCTGCTCGCGCTCAGTGTACGGCGACCACATGTACATTCGCACAAAATAGAATTCGTTCGCGTCCGGCTGCTGTTGCGTCTCTTTGGCGGTCAGTCGACGTGCACGCAACTCGAAGAACATGGACGTTCCCGGGTGAATAGCCGTCACATTGAGAGCTTCCGGTAGTCCCTCAAAGTGAAACTGCCAACCCAGCATCATGCCCAGACCGTGCAAAAGTTCACGATGGCCATGGTACGAATAGTAGCGGTACTCCGAATTCGATGGCGCCGTCGGTACAGCTCCGCCTTCAAGCGTGTTGAGCAGCAGATCACCAAACCCACCCACCCAATACGTGATTTTACGGTCCGTCGAGTAGTACCTTTCCATTAGATTCGTGAAGGCCAATTGCTCCAACTTTTGACGCACTTCGATCGTCATCCCTTCAGTAAGTGGCAGCCCCTCATCGCGATCAAAGGCGAACATATCGGCCAAGTCCTTGACACCCAGCACAACGTCTTCACCACCCGGAACATTAGGGATATCCTCAACCTCTACTCCACAGACTTGGCCCAGCTGCTGAAGCACATCACGGTACTTGTCAAATAGCTCAGGTGCTCGCGTTCGAGCATATACTGCAAGATCTGCCTCTTCCGTGGTCTTACACGGTCCCTTAGGGGCTGCAAAGGCATGTTCGTTCTCCAACAGCTGCATAGTGATTGGCACAGGTTGATGAGGGAAGCCCGGTGGACCAGTACCATCAGGATAGAGTCCGTACCCCACTGCTGTCGCACTCTGCGAGCAACGCGTTGCAGCGTCGGCCCGAAAGTACGTCTCAAAGTGCGAGTGGTTTACACCATTGAGCGAGCGTGAAAGGAACGCCTCGTGGTGCGATGGCTCGTCTGCCATGTACGTGTGGCGAACGTGTTCACCCACGGCCTGCAGCTGCTTCATGCCGATCTCCGTGAGTTGTGTGAGCGGCACCTTGTACGCCTCCAGGTTGGCCTTGTTACGTGGACACGTGACTTTAACGACGTCGTTTGGCGCGCGACTGCCGTGGCGAGAGAGCGTGACGAGGCGACGGAGGGTGCTGCAAACAGTAGTAGGTTGATACGTGGGTTCCTTTCATACGTTAGCCGAATCGTTGCGGTGTTTATAATAGCAATAGCAGTGTGTGATTCTGCACGGACCTTGGCGTCGACTCTTCAGCTGGGAAGGCTGCGGTGGACAGCACTGCGAGCGCTAGGGCGGACGCAAGATGGACGCTTCGCATCGTTTTTTTGCGGGTGTCTGACGGGAATTGACACGAAGTGGAAAATGAGATGGAGAGATTTGGGGCGGTGGATCCTGTGGAAGGGGCTGGTGGACGGTCGGGTTTTTGGCTTGATTGTGTCGTTTAGCGGTGGTAAGGATTTTGAAGTGATGGTAAAGTTGAGATTGTGGATTGGAATGGGGATAAAGTGCGAGTCTTTTGTTAGGTCATGTGTAGTCATTTCTCGGATAACGCAGAGACTTGGTGAAGACAAAGTTTATGAATTAGCCGAGTTGGTTATGCGTAGCGTGAATTTCACATCTTTTGATTTTCTGGTTATCTTGTGCAAAAGGAATCATCAGTAAGGTAATGGTTTCCTCCTCTAAATTTCATACAAGCATGTCCTGGGTCCTATCACCAATGCACGAAAGCTCAAGATTTGATAAGACAAGGCCTATAACGAGCCAGATTGTGAAGGCAAATTGGGCTTCAAGCAAGGTCCGAGTCCAGATTACCCAGAATTCCATCGCTCTCGTAATCAAGAAGCCCACTGATCTAGAATGTACTGCGGATAGCGAACTTTTCGCCAAAAGCCAGACATTCGCTCATAATTAAAAAACGGAGGAAGACCTGTAAACTTGGGTGCCTTTGTACCAGACAAGGATATTTACCTGATTACAGTATTCATCAAAGGTCGAGGCTTTTTGTTTTTTCATGAACGCCCTAGCCTACGTGAGGACACCATTTAGTTCTCCAGTGGATAGTCGACCACAAGCAACAGCAAAAAAGCTGCATTGTATCAGAATTTTTGGCGAGAGTAGTTCAAATGAGGAAGCTTTGGATGCAGCATTGCCTGAGCTTCGGATATCAGCGTAAACATGTTTACAATTGGACGAAATTAATGTTTGAGATTTAAGAAATCATAATTTAGACTGATGTTGTACAATACTAAAAGTGATTTAGGTCTTTTAGGCCATTTAATCATAAATTAAAAAAAGGCAGTTGCGTAGAAAGAGATTGGGGATCTCAACTACTAGAAGGTAGAGCTATTTTTTCTGGAAAAATTAAAGTTTGAAATTTGTTGGATAATAACAGTTTTCTTTCCTGTTGTTTAGGTACGGATCTGTATTGCCTTCACGGCCAATGCGGATGGTACTTCAGGTGTTCGTCCATCCGTACGGCTGCCACCACTCAGGCACTTAGAACGCATTTAAAAAGGTATATGAAACATTGGTTGAACCTCTCGTTGACCTCTGATTGAACCTCTGGTTGAACTTCTAGTTGAGTCAAAGTGCCTCCCCTTGGTATTTTAAGATTTTAGCTGATAGTTGGACGATAAAAACCAGGCACTGTTCACACACTCGATAATTGCAACCATTGTGGGTGACAGTACATGTAACGGGGTAGCCCGTCACTTGGTATAGACACGAAACGGTGTCAATAGGGAGATTGTCTAGCGTGACAATTCCCTGCAAGTATTTTTCGAGATGGATATTATTGAAGGAATATTATTCCGTTAGACAACATCTATGCGCTGCTCAACGATTGGTTGATAAAAGACATATCAACAATAGATTACCACCAATCGCTGCTAGACGCGCGCAATGAGTGGTGAGCTGGTTGTCGTCATACGACGACGTAGTTTAATAGAGTTAGATAAATTTGAAAGTTATGTTGACAGGGAAACGTTAACCACCCCCCAGGTTTTCGTTAACCACCCCCCACCCCGTATATATTACCGCAATATATATACCTTCCATATTTTTGATTGATTATGAATAAAGGGAATTGCTAAATTCGCACCCCTTTTCCTTAAATTCACACCCTTCCTTCAAAATCTTAAATATGCAATCCCCATTCATTTAAGATTTATTCTCTGACAAAGGTATTACTCGATAATCTAGGCCATTAATTGGCAAGTAATACGTAAGAAATACCTAAGATAATGCTCACGCCTGTGGTCTAGCTCCTCCAGTGTAACGGGGTGAATCGTTACATAACAATTTATAAGAAATTGTTAATAGAATATAACTATAAGAGTTATATTCTCAGAATATTGTCATAAGGACAAATATTCTGTTGCACTTACAAGTAGTTCCTAATTGGTTGATATAGGCCATTATATCAACCAACGAAGACGCGCCACGACAGACGCACGCAATGAGTGGTGAGCAGATAACTGATTTACACATTTGTATTTAGACATAGTTAGATGAAGATAAATAGGGATTTATTGCAGACATTAACTATTATAAATACAGTTCTACTTTTTACTTTAACCAAGTACTCGCTTCTTCTTACCGTCTTCCTCTGCACGTACGAGTGTACGTGAAGTTACGAGGCACCGCCTTATTCTGTTATCAGAATAAGTAGCTTGTACTGTCACCAGTACAAGCTTCAGGGTGCCCCGTTACACCTGGTAGCACTTCGTAGTCCGTCCAAGGACCGCGTTCACATCCAACATGAATATGTTGGATGATGAAGATGACCAAAGCTTTCACGCTACGCGTGACGGCTACTCCCATTTGAGCGATGTCGAATGGGATGCGGTTGAACGAATGGGTTCGACCATGGGCATCCATGCTGTTAGCGTCATGCTAGAGGCTCTCAATAGAGATGCCCAACATGCTACTATCGCCAAGTTCATTCAAAATGAACTTGACGCTGAACGCGAGAAAGTAGCCTTGCTTCACCAACAAGGTTCTCAACAAGCGGAGTTGTTGAGAGAACAAGGTGCTCAACAGTTTGAACTGTTGAGACAGCAGCAGGCTGCTGCTGGCGGGTTGATGCACTCGCGTCGACCCGAAACCTTGAAGATTGACATCTCCAAGTATAGGGGGGTCGAAGAAGACTCCCTCTTGAGATGGTTCGTCGAATTGGATGACGCCATAAGGGCGCGTCGCATCGACGACGGGGATATGCAAGTTGCATTTGCCCAATCAAATCTGGCAGGACGTGCCAAGACTTGGGCACTGGGGCTTAAGCTGCACGACCCATATGCGTTTGGGTCGTTGGAAGTCTTCAAGTCGCGGCTCAGACAAACGTTTGAACCGCCTAGAGCTGAGTTCAGAGCTCGAACCGAACTCTTGAAGCTCAAGCAGGGTAAGCGTGATGTGCACGCTTACGCTCAACATATACGACATCTCACGAGTTGTATAAGTTCCAACCCGGTTGATGAACACACGTTGGTTTCAGTGTTCATGCAGGGTCTTGCGGATGGTCCCGTCAAGACTCACCTGTTCCGGCTTGAACTAGATTCACTAGAACAAGCCATTTCCATTGCGGAGCAGGAAGACTTCAGTCTGAGACAGGCTCGCGCCAGCTCGACATCATATCGTCAACCGAGACGATATGACAACGGAGGTCCAGAACCGATGGAACTCTGTTATGTAGAGAGCGAGAAGGCTCGCTCTACAGGCTACAAGAAGTTGCAGAGATGCAACAGATGTCAAAAGACAGGACACTACGCTTACGAGTGTATTGCCCCTCGTCCAGTGTCTCGCGACACTGGGCGTAGTGACCGTCCACCCATGAGAAAGGGGCAGGGACGAGGGTCCGCAGTTGGTGCAAAGACGCAACAACGGGATGGACCGTCAAAAAACGGACAGGATCAGTAGGTGCGGAGCACCCTACTGGTCTAGCAACGTCAAGAGAATTTGTAGGCCTCTTGATGAAGGTTGCTCCCAACACACAAACGTTGTGCGTTGCTGCTCTAGGTAATGAGGTCTCACTCATTACCTTGAAACTCGAAGTGACGAATAAGTTGTCCCTTCGAGCTCTAGTCGATTGTGGGGCGTCCAACAATTTTGTGCGACGCCAATCGCTAGAATATGGTCACTTTAAGTTCAGTGAATGTGACACACCTCCTACGAGGATGACGGTACGTCTTGCGACAGGCGCATCCGTAACCGTCATGAAGCGTATAGTGAAGATCCACTATACGCTAGAAGATACCCAATATGACGATGAGTTTATCGTATTGGATTTGAATGACAAATTTGATGTCATCCTTGGAATACCGTGGCTCAGAAGGTACGAACCACGAGTAAACTGGCAACATCGAACAGTAACGATGCCTGCCGCTTGTTCATCAGATGGCCATCTGATGAACGTTTTGGAGCGTCCACAAGCGTGTGGATGTACTACGAGTGAGTGCGATGGCCTCACTTGTGGTACGGTCGTTAGTACGACTGCACAAAACCTTAGTGTACCAAACGGTTACACTTCGGAGCAAAGTTCCGGCGGCTGTGAGGAAACACAGGCTGCGCCGAAGGTCCACCACTCGAATAAGTCGGGTGGACTGGGACAAAGATGTATCCCTAGAGGGGAACATCTAGAAGAGAAACAATCGATCGCTCAGGTTAAGCGAAACGATAATCCTAGATCAACTGGAGAGTCTTTCGTAGAGGATCTCGCTGTGGTTGCGCAACCCCAGCTAGAGGGAGTAAGGGGAATAAGTCCCAAGATTACAAATACGGCGGAAATAAGTTCCCCGAAACCCGAGGGAATAAGTCCCCGGGAAGACGAAGGAATAAGTCCTTCGAAGCCTGAGGGAATAAGTCCCCAGGAAATGACAGAGACATTGAATGTCATAGTCAATAACGGATCAAGTGTAGGCGCTTATACACTTGATCTGATTGCGCCTCCGAAGTTAACTTCGGAGATCACTCAGTTGCCAACGCTCGAACATCTAAGGTTCTTGCGTGATCTGCGTAGTGGCAAAGTCAAGCAGATCTGCATACTCGTCGCTGAAGACGAGTGTGTAACCGACATAAGGTCAGCAACAGTGTTTACTGAGAACGAGAGAGTTCTCAGTAGTTCATCTATGGACGAGAGTGTCCTAGATGAAAAGACACGAATTGAGCGATATGACTCCCAATCATGGGAATCGCTCAAGAAAAATCCTCTCTATGAAGATTTGGTTGAATTCAAGGATGTATTCCCTGAAACTGTTCCGTGTGAATTACCGAAGGATAAAGGTATTCGACACGAAGTCGAGCTTAAACCAGGCTCGAAGTACT